AGCGGGGTGCCGATGCGGAACCAGCGTTTGGAGACGAGAAGAAGGTCGCCGCAGCGGGATTTTGATCGAGGGACGAGGCATCGGTAGTGTTTGCGAAATCGGAAAAACTCCGCATGAGAGACTAGTATGCTGTATGACAAGATTTCACAGAGAGTTTCCTCTGGTAGCACTGCGTCCATCGTGACCGTGGAAGACAACAAAAACGCGAAACGTGACTGTGTAATGACGCGATGTCACGGGAATCGCGAAACAGGTGACCGTAACCCGTGACAGTCGGACTCGGCCCACAAATTCCCTCGTCCGTACGTCGCTCATACCGAATGACATGTACACTCACCTCCCTACATTAATATTTCCTTGGCGAAATATTTGGAATGTGCTGCATACGTCTTGGAATGTCTACACGCGGAAGGTACATAGCTAACGTGTGATACTCATGATCAAGATGATGCTGCGGTGACTTCACCTATTGCATCAAGGAAGACTCCACGCCTTATAACCTTGATACCATGGCTGAGTCCTCCTGGAACTCTTTCAACTGGGCCCTCCGAGAAGTTGGAGAGGAGCACTAAACATGTACAGGCTACTTTCCGCAGTATACGAATGGCGCGCTCATTCGTCGGCCATTCTGCCTCTCGCCTTCTTCCAGGCCGTCGCGCAAGGCCTGAGCAGCTTGCCAAGCATATATCTCTTCCGTGCCATTCGCTGTGAAGAGTATCGCGCAACGACCCCACCCCACATGTTCGAGGACGACATTTGTCGGTCGCCCATTGTGCAGAAGGCGTACTCCAAAGATATCATTATCTACACTACCGTCTCTGCTGTGCTCAGCGTCGTGCTGGCTGGGCCGTACGGCAGAGTGTCGGATATCCGCGGCAGGAAGCGGGCGCTGACAATCTCGGCCACACTCAACGCACTCGGGAATGTTTGGCTTGTGCTATGCTGTGCGTGTAGCGGGCTTTTGTACATGGCTTGTTGTGCTAACTGCCGCGATTACAATCAGCATTCTTCGCTACGCTGCGCAGTCCCTGGCTCGTGCAGCTTGCAGCGGTTCTACAAGGCCTTGGTGGCGGCTTCTCTATTATCACGGCCATCCAGAACGCTGCCATCACCGACACGTCCGCCCCGAGCGAGCTGTCGCT